TCGCGAATCATGGGATCCGGATTAACTTCGATGTCTCAAAACGTTGGTGAAACGCACAGGGATCAAGTCGGCCTTGACTCCGCGGATCAGGATCATGAAACTCGGATCAACTACGAATTTGATCCTGGTTGGTGAAACCGGCCCTATGTGACCCCCTTGAGTAATTTTCAAGGTTTTCAATAAAATGACACCAACGTTTTTAATTAAACTTGTTTATTGGATAGTGTGAAGGACGCTTAAGAGAATGGTGCAGGTTTCATGTTTGTTAAAAACATTAATTTTTGAAAATTGCAAAATATCAATTTTATTTTCGGCGTCTTCCTACAGCTAAAATATTAAAGACGGAAGTGTTCCCCTTAAAGATACATTTTGAAATAAGCTCATGTATAATTTTTCGAAAATTTGAATACTTGACGCGTAATTTTGCGGGAAATACAGGCTGTTTGAAATTTTGTTTAAACAATTATTTTCTCAAAAATGGCACTAACAATTTTGATTACATTTTGACCTCGAATAGTGTATGGGACGCTCGTGGTGGACTTCGCGGTGGCTGACGCACAAGAGGGCAAACTTAACAGCAAGTTAGAAGAAAAGCGCTAAAAATACAAAGCCACCTCATTACCGTCTGTTACCACAGCGCCGAAGAGCTCCCACTGGTGGTGGGGACCCAGGGGGAATGGTGTGCGGGTAGTGACGCCGCTCAAAGAAAGTTACAGACGGCAAGAAGCTAAAAGACTTAAGTGAAAGAATAATCACTGAGGCCATTGATGGCAGTGCGCCGTGCTACTACACGCACTACCCCGCAGTGGCCCCGCGTGAGTACACCCCCCCCCCCGCCACTGGAAGCTAGCTGCGGAACAACAGAAAAGAGCTGCAACAACCTCAGACGACAACCTGGATCCCCTGCCTAGAAAGTGTGTGCCTCAGTGTCAGTGAAGTGAAAGCGAGAAAATTGTAGTGGTCCGTATAAGTGATAGAGAGAGGAAAAATTATAAGAAAATATGCAAAAGGTTCAATGCTGGACACAAGACACACAAATCGAGATTCTGATCGGAAGAGCCAATCGACTTTTCTTACATATTGTAAATACGAGTAACATCCCACAGTTTACATATTGTAATTACTAACCAATAATGCACATATTGTTATTAGTAGCAGTAGTATACAAAATAGTCATAGAGCATTAATATAGTAGGATAGAATTTAGACTAAGCCAGACAGCAACTAAAATGTTAATATTATATGAAGAAATAAATATTTGTGTTACAGAGAATGATTAAGGTGTCATGTTCGTTGAAAATTCTGATTTTTGAAAATTGCAAAAATTCAATTTTTTGTGGGTGCCTTCCTGCAACTACAATTATGAAGATGTACGTAGTATAGAGAAAGTTATGTAATGCTGCGGAAATTCGATTTCAAGATTTCAACTGAAATATACGTTTTGGGGGTCCTCTGATACCGAAAAAGTGTTTTTTTAACGTGCATCCCTCTGTCTACTCGCCTATCTGTCTGTCCTTCTGTGCGGCCGGCCGTCTGTTCCAAAATGGATATTCCTCGATATGTGTCTCGAAATTTTTTCTAGAAACTTTTCGTTGTGATAGTGCTAAATGTACTGTATAAGATGACAGAAACGCAAATTTGCTTTATTCTGTGCTTCTTTCAAAAATTACAAAATGTACTTTTTTATATCCCTCATGTCGTTAATACTCACATTAGCAACAATTTTTTAAACAATATATAATTTATGAGTACACGTGCTTTAAAGATGTTTTATAAAGTTTCTCGAAAATCTAAGGTTTTTGAGAAAATCAGTTCAAATTTCCGCATTTTTAGAAACGCTCAAGCGCCATTTTCACAAAAATTGCTCTAATTGTTTCTTCAAACATTTTGTACGGTTAGCGTAAAATGCACTGAATTAGATAACATAAAAACCACTTAGCTGTTTTCTTTTTTTAATAAGCAAATCTATTTTCTTTGAAATACTTCTCACGCCGTCAATATGTAGTACATTTCCAGCGATTTTATAAATTATTTCATTTGTGAATATAAGCCTTTTAAATGATTTTAAATGAAGTTTCTCGAACACTTAAAAGTTTTCTAAGAAAAAGATCTTCAAATTTCGCATTTACAGTGAATCTCAAACGATAATTCCTTAAAAACAGCTCCAAATTTTTCAACGAAAATTTCCATTTAGGACAAGGTTTACTTTCCTTTATATTTTTAAAGTAATACTTCGGATCTAACATTAAGAGACCAAAAAATTGAAGAAGTTTCAAAAACAATGTACTTTGGGAAGCGATAGATAGCATCTGGCAGGATCGCATGTCCCATCAAGAGGATGGGACAAGATAGAAACGATAGCCCTGACGAAAGAAATTAGAAAAGTAACTCTGTGAGTGTGTATTTTGTTAGGCTGAAGTTAAAACTTTGTGTATAACTGGGTTGTCATACAGTTCACCACCAAAGAACTGTAGCTTGTTTTGGGTAACATATACGTGATGCCAGGTATGAGCCATTCCGTGAGTTTTTATAGGGTTTCCAAATTTGTATTATTATCCTTTGCTAGATTAGAATGTAATGCTATTAGTTTCTTAATCCAATAATTCTGAATCTTATCAATTCCAGGGAATTTACAGATTTCCATGTTCTTAATTGCTTGGAAGAGACGCTTTAAAGTTTATTGTGTGTCGGCAATGAGAACAAAACAAAACAATGTTATCAATAGACTTCAGAATTTTAAGCCCAAAAAGCGATGATTAAGGCACCTAAAATAGGTAACAAAATTATGAAAATAGGCACTATTCGACCTGAAAAGCGAAGTTTAAGACACCTAAAACACATTGCAGAATTATGAATTGCGTAGACGCACATGGCGATAAGTCTCAACCTGGCAACTGCACAGTTGCCCAGGGAATGGGTGCGATGGCCTAAGAAGTGCGTGATGATCGGAGTTGACGGTAAAACATCCCTTTTTTATCGCATTACAGAGCTCCTTATGTTCGATGTGTTGGGTGAGAGATTTCACTGCGTAGCCGACAGTGCGCATTCGTCAAACAGGGAATATTGGCGGGAAATTCGGAAAATTCAGGAAAGTAATTTTGTTTTACTATAACAAATTTTTTAAAAATGACGGATGAAAATATGATATTTATTCAAAATTACTTATTTTAGGTAGTTTTAGGCAAAAATAAATCAAAATAGGCTTTAACCGCCTTTATAGGATATTTTAGGAACTTTTAGATGGGCACAGAAGATCTATTTATTCATGATTTGTATACATTGCATTTATTTTTCTTAACCTCCTAAGTAACTAATTGGCAATTGTCCTACTACCCTAGGTCAACTCATCAACTAATATCTGAATCTTCTAATTTTGACGTTTCGTTGACATCATCTAATTCCTAAGTTTCCCGTGGGTCATTTTTCTCTGTTGATTGACCATCATCTGTTTCTTCTGAAGACCGATGACTGCTCTCTGTCTCTCTCTTTCTTTCTTTCTCACTCTCTCTTTCTCTCTCTCTCTCTCTCTCACTCTCTCTCTCTCTCTCTCTCTCTCTCTCTCTCTCTCTCTCTCTCTCTCCTTTATCACGATTCTAGACTTCTTAAATCGAATAGTCCTTTTCCCGGAATGACTTTAAACTTCTTCTCTTTTTCCGATTTTCCCTCTTGCGCATGTGTTTTTTCGTGTTTTCTTCAAATGTTCAGTGAACGCTCCCAACGAGGAAGAGTTTGGAGCACTGTTCAATTCCTCTTCAGTGTCGGACATTTTTCATCACTTCATCGCGATTTAATGAAACAATACCAGATACTCGGAAGTTAGATTTTCATTAGATTTGGAAGGAACTCCAAGTCACATGTATATAATTTCCCTCCAGAAAAAAATTATTTTAGAAAACTACCATAAGAAAATGCACTTACGTATTTTCAGTTATTAGGAAACTTTCCAACAACAATAACTATGTAGCAATTTTTGAACGATACGCATAAATACATGAAAATATCACATTTATTCAAATTACAGTGTGATGCATTACTCCTTGTCAATTTACTCCAATTTGAATGCGATAATTTCCGCGAACACTTGCGTTCAGTGTTGCCATCAGTTCGAAATTGTCATCGGTAATTGTAATAATATGTGAAATTCTAGAAAACTATGTGATTGATTTTAACCCCGCTGATAGATTTTAGCCTCTCTTACGGTATCTTGGTCGGTCTCACGTAAGTTAGGACGTGACGTAAGTCAATTTATCAACATTATCCTTCACGTGACGTAAAGGATAATGCCACTGTGTTTGTAAACGAACATGACTTGGTTTATACAAGGGAATGTAAATAAATTGTATATCGAATATTACAAGTGGTGTGTATAATCGAATATAACAAATGCATATATACAGTTTGGACAACCAAAATACAAATATGAAAATATGGTTGGGGAAACCATTTCCGGATTATTAATTTATGTTTAGGTAAACAAAATTTCATTATTCAAGTATGGTTCGGGCAAACCATTTCAAACAGTTGTGTTCATAAATGCAATAACGTAAAATAAATGATCGTAATGTAAATATTAACGATGAAGAGATATGATTTAAAACATACACCGCTGTTAGTGAAAACTGCAGCGCCTAGAAGGAATGGTCGGAATCACTTCAAAAATCGGTGTATCCATAAGGAGTGATTAAATTTGCATAGATATGCACTCTCAGTCGGTGTAGAGTCGTCAAATGTCGTGGAAACATGAAAGCAAGTGCCGGTATGCCTCGTTGACGCTGTCGTCTCCAAAATGCGGGTTTGTCGTACCGAGACATTGCGGCTCTAAAAGGGTCGCGCTGCTAGGGCAGTGATGCGTGTGTGGAACCAGTGGAAAGAGCAGGACTGGACCACTCAATGTGAGATGACCGCCATCTTGTCCGCGTGACCATATCCGACAAAACAGCGTCGCCCACAGTGTTGGCTCGAATTAGAGCACTTCAACGGGTGTGATCGTGTGTGCGTCGATGGTTCGACGCCGTATGTTGCGGGCTGGGCATGTGACACGCATACAACTGACCATTCCGATGACCACCACGACGGATTCCGTTGACCCGCAGACCTCAGAGAGCAATGGGGACGTGGACGTCACTCGTGTGCTCAGTGGTAATTTCTTGTTGTTTTTGGACGAGTCCTGCTTCATCTTGTGCTATAGAGATGATCGCGTACATGATCGATGCTTTGGTGGTAATCGCAATCTGCCAGCCCGTATTGTTCCGCGCCATAGCTGACAAACGAGAAGTGTGATGTTTCGGGGCGCCAGTGACTACAATGTGCGATACCGCCTCATACGTATTGAGGGCAATCAGGACAGCAACCGCTACGTCAGGGAAGTTTTAGAGCCCGAAGTACTGTGCCTGTGACAGCTTCACGCCGCACTAAATATTCAATGTGAAAATGCAGGTACAGATCTGTAATTCTATTCATTTGTACATAGTGATATTCGTAATCTATGGAATAAATTCCATTGTAATATTATTCATTGTATGTCAATGGTGTGGCAATTTTCACAAACCCCAGTGTACATTTGTGTAAATCAAACTAGCGCAAATTGTCATTTTATTCAGTACATTTAGCCCTATCCATACAAAAAGTTTAGAGAAAAAATGTGGAGCCGTTGTTTGAGAAAATGTCGTACAATCATTTCTAAAAATGCGAAATTTCGAGCTCACTTTCAAAGTTTTAAGTTTTTGAGAAACTTTATAAGACGTGATTTGAAGCACTTGTACTCACAAATGAAATCCTGTACACAAATTACAGTTAATGTAATGCATTACATCTTCACTTGGCAGGCAACTCTGCGCTCATTCTGTGTATTTAAGGAACTATATCTCCACGCGCAGAACAATGATGCAATCATGGAGTTGGTGCAAGGGAATACTATGGTAAAGATACGGGACCGAAAAATGCCTATACGATATTCTGAGAGCGTGGATGTACTCTTGGGAATGGCCCTAGAGTAGTACGAGCACGGTGTAAGATTTATATCTTCCACCGTGATGGTAGTTACCGCAAAATCTCTGATAAATATTTTAGGTACCGATTGATAGCTGCGAAGGGGATGGAGGGAAACCGAAACATTAGTCCAGATCTAAAGAGAATAGAAAACTAAGTAGTACGAGAAAGTCTGTACCGTTCTGAGACATCACAAATTTTGTTTCAGTCTTTGGTTGCATTTAAAATTCCTCCCTCAAAATGTGACGAAAACTGATGAGTGAAGCTAATTGGCTGGAATCGAACAGTCATGAAAATATCGATATTTTTAAGTATCGACTTTCACTACGGCAGGATGACAATCGAGAAATCTACATGAGCTCTTGAAAGTATATTGAGTGATATTGAGTATGCCGCTGATGGCAATTTGCTGATCATTGATGACTGTGTAAAGTGAAATCGTGTTTATAATCAACGTTTTCGAGGGGCATGTTGTTAAACAAAATGGAATGTTTTCAGCGAATTTTTGTTGGAAATGGTGTGTAATTTTTAGGTTATTTTTTTTTCTTTTACTTGTCTATCAAATGACAGATTATTGCTGATTCAAAGAATTTAGCTAATTTGAAGTAAATGCTGTTAGAAAATAATATGGTGTTGAAGTGAATTTCTAAATAAATGCATGTTCCCTTGAGCTTTATTAGCATGTAAGGAGAAAGTGGGTCACATAAGTGGGTTGTAATGCCATAAAGAAATGAAATTATGAATCAATGTATATTATTGTGTGTTCTGCCTTCATGTTATTAGGGAAAGTAACGAATTATAATTCTCATTCCTGTAGGAAGAAGCTTAGTATGGCCAAATGCAAGGTGTGGAAGATACTTGTCTCAAGAAAGTAACATTGAAAAGCACAAACCAAAGACAGGGATACTTTTACTCAACATGGGAGGACCTCAAACTGTTAATGATGTTCCAGATTATTTGCTTAGAATTATGACTGACAGAAATTTAATTCAGTTGCCAATGCAAAGGTAATTTTTAATACTTGTGAATATAGTGAATCCTAAGTGAAGTTAAAATCTTGTTCTTATTGACACTATACTTCATAAGTAACACTTTGATAATATGGATTAATTTCTTATTACTTGATTAGTAAATGAATCCAAAATGGAAATGTAATCTCAATCATAGCTTTTCCTTGAGCTATAATTTATTTTTGTCTGTCTCGTGTGATGTTACAGCTAACTGTTTTTTACAGTAAAAGATGTATTATTTGTGAAAATGATGATAAAAACTGGAAATATTATTTTGGAAGTAGAAATGTACTTGTGATATGGGCTGTCAAAATAATTTAAAAATTTATATAGCTATTGATTCTCAAAAGACAGTAAAAATGTGAGTGACAAGCGGCAAAGTACAATAGCATTTTTTTTTTTTTTTTTCCCCCTCTTCAGAATTCTTACTGCTCTATTCTAAAATTATGAATAAAGATACCAAAGAGTGTAGTTGTCAATATTTGGAAACTAGAAATTTTCAAAACTAAAAATGCTTGGTTAGGGATTCAAATTGAATCTGGGCTCCCCACCTGATGTCCTCTCTGATTCTACCTCTATATTGATGATCCGAATTAATGTTGGAACCTGGGGAATAATTTGAAGAGCAATGGAATTCGTATATAAAGGGTAAAGAAAAGCACAAGAGTTTAAAAACTGCCTGTATATAATAATAAAGATTGATAGATAATAAGAATAATAAAAAATATATAATAATAAATAATAATAATAAAGCCTGAAGTCCAAATCCTCCCAGGTTAAGAGAACATATTAATGCTAAAATGAGACATGGAAATAAGATTATAGAATAAGAAACGTTTTTTAATGTTGTGTTCAATAGAACAGGGTCCATGGTGCTTCAATTCACATATTGACTAAGATGATTATATTTACCTTTCTTTTATTCCATATGTGTTACCTAATTCCACAGATTTTTGGGACCATACATTGCCAAAAAACGTACTGCTGAAGTACAAAAGAAATATGAGGAAATTGGTGGTGGCTCTCCTATCTTGAAATGGACTCAAAAACAGGTAAAATTTTACTGATAGAATTCTGAAAAATGTATAAGGTGTGAATAAATTAACTAAACTAGTGACTAAATTATTGTTTGCAAATTTTAATCCCTTTTCTCCAGGGAAATGGCTTGGTTGAAAGGCTGGACACTGCTTCACCCTCAACTGCTCCTCATAAATATTATGTTGCATTTCGATATGCAAATCCACTTACAGATGAAACAATGCATCAAATAGAAAAGCAAGTTGGATGCTAGTTTGTGAATTATTCCATGAAAATTGATATGAAATTGTTTATCACCTTCAAAAGGTCTTTCTTTTTCTTGAAGGGACCAACTCGATCATTTGGTAGTATTCTCGCAGTACCCTCAGTTCAGCTGTGCTACTAGTGGATCAAGTTTTGATGCAATTTACCATTACTTCAGGAAAAGGTAATTTTCTTATAATCTTCTTCAAACATAAATATAATAACTAGATCAAATTTAACTTTTATAATGACATAACTTTGCGTCACCTAATATTTTGAATAATGCAATAAGCAGAATATCAGAGTATGTCAATAATATATCAATAAACCAATAAGTTGTCATCAGTGATTATGAAATATCAAACCTCGATTCACTTTAATAGGTACCGTTCTTATGAATAAATGTCTCTTTAAGATAATTTGTCTGTTGATAGGCCTTTACAAGCTTTCATTTCCCGTGCCTCCCATCTCTGCAGTTCAAAACCCCTTTACCTGAATGCTGGAATGGGTGATGACATTCCTCCCCTTGATCACAATCAGTTTTCTGTTTCTTTCGTATATAATTTTTTGTACATTATTGTATTTGTGAGTACAAGTTCTTTAAATAATTTCTCTTGAAGTTTTGAAAAACTTGTATATTTTTCTGTGAAAATTAGTTTAAACATGGGCATTTTCAGAAGTACTCCAATGATATTTTGTCGAAAGTGGCTCCACTTAATTACATGACTAGGACATCAATTGAATTGTTTATTTCAGAAACCAGTCAAACGCCAAATCTAAAACATGCTTTAGTGACAGATTACTTTTCCAGGAGGATAGACACATTGTTTTGTGCGTATTTATATGAAAAAGATTTGTTTATCACCTTCTTTAATAAAAAAGAAATATTTTGAAATCTGAAAAACTGGGAGACTTATTCTCAGTTTTCTCGAAATGAGGAATTTGGTGTTTGATGGGTTTCTGAAATAAACAATTCAATCGATGTCACTGCAATGCCTCTGATTGGGAGGTCCTAGAATTTGAGTCTTGATGGTGGCAGGATTTTTAACACTAGCTTCTTTAGCTAGGTTGAATTTAGCTACTGTGTGAAGGAGAATTCCAGAGACCAGCTGCTCTGTTTGGTAGTTTTCCATGGTTCGTCTAATCAATAAAAGACAAGTAATGGAGCAGTACTGTAACAAATGGGCCGTGGACCTTGTGTGATCTTTCCTTCCTCTTCCTTGTGCTATCTTCACCCCCTTACGTGCACTCACATTTATTTCCACTACATTACTACACATGTCAGGAGACCATTTGGGAGCCAAGAGGTTGTTCTGGCTGAGGTGATGCACCACTGAAGGGTGATACATGGCCTGTGAAAACCCACGTAGGCCAATAGTAGATTAGCGTTGGATCTCACCATCCAGAGGGAAAAGACACCGCCACCTCCCACATTAAAACATGCATAACACTTACAGAACTAATGACCTTAACAGTTGAAACATCCAGAAAAACTAATTAATCAATCAATCAAAAAGGCACCAGATTTGTTTATGAAAATTGGTATGTAGAACCAGTTTTTACTCTTCTATAATGCCCTTAAAGTTGTATTTCAATTTAACTGCTGCTAATACTACTAGGGGCTGCCAGGTAGCAGGTGTAGAAGCAGAAGGTGGGGCAAAACCAGAAAACTAGCTCAGACTAAAGAGATTACAAAACTAGCTAATATGAAAATGTCTGTATCATTCTGTAGCCCTGCTATTTTTTGTTTTCGTTGCTGGGGTTAGGAAGATACAAATTTTGGGGCTGAGATATACGGGACTGTGAGACGGCCTATACGCCATGAATACGTGGTAAAAACATCCATGTCTGACTTGGAATTGAATCCCTTAAGATATAGAGTATTCGTGGGTTTAAGTCTCAAGTTTCTGTGCCTCCAGGCTTGCAAAAATGTTAATGTAATATGAACAACTAATGAAGAGCAATTCTATACATTTTTTTTTTTATTCTTATATTTATTGATTTTGTTTTCTCTATTCCTTAATCGTTTATTTTTTTTAAACTGTCATAGAGACTACTACTCTCTTGGAACAAAAATCTCTTTGTTTACTAGTAAGTTCATTAGTGTAGTGGGCTCTTATGTCTGTAAATTTAAATAAATAAAGAAAGAAAGAAATTGAACATGACATGCAGAAAAGAATCAATTGATATTTGTTTTTAGACAGGTGCCTGCAAACATGAAGTGGACTGTTATTGACCGGTGGCCAACACATTCTCTATTATGTCAGTGCATTGCAGACAGAATTAAAACAGAATTAAATTTTTTTCCTGTGGAAGAACAAAAAGATGTAGTATTGCTGTTTTCTGCCCATTCACTGCCTTTGAAGGTAAGTAGAGCCAAATCAGAGAGGTAGCCATATTATTTTATTAACTGTTATTGATTATATTTGGAAATTCCGAATGGGCTAGTTGGAATTGCTTGAATTGTGTTTTCCGTATTCCTAGAAATGAGCAGATCAGGCAATTTTGTATGCTTTTATTTACTCATTTTCTCTTTCTGTTTGTTAATATAATGGTAAAAACTGCAGATAATAATTTTTTTTAAATAAACTACCTTCTTAAGAGAATAGTATGTATGAATAGCATATTATTAATTTCCAAGGTACACTGAAATTAAAAGAAAAAGATACTTCCTCTCATTTTGTGATTTTGTGAGGTGTGATTTTATGACATGTGATTTTGTTATATACTCAGGGACTCTGGCAAAATAGGAAAACATCAATATTACTCGTATCCAATGCACACAGGAACTAAAAGAAAACTATGTAGCCATTGTTCATGTGAGAGGTGTCTTTGGTTTTGTTAGATACCCTGGAACCCAGAATAAATCAAAGAAACAGTTTCAATTTTGACCGATTTGATTGGTTATTCCACTTATTCCTACACTGTGCATACTGACTGAATTCTCAAACTTAGTGCATCACTTTCCTCATGAGTCAGCTAATGTCAAGTGACAGCAAGGCTTCAAGGAAGATATTCCATATATATATATATATATATATATATAT